GGGTGGGGGGGAGGCTGGCTGATACAGACCTGATAAGCGAGGGTGGTATTGCCAAGAACACACACAGACACAGCCAGGATCGGAGCTGGGAGGGACCTGGCAGGCTAACCTACTCCCTGGCGATGGGAGGTCTGGAACCTAAAGCCTAGACAGCCTTTTCTTGAGGCGTTAAAATACGCGGGGACCCATAGGTACACGTGGAGCTGCCTTATACAGGAGCAGAGGGCCATCAAGGTACCGATGGGAACACAATGGCTGCGATCACACACACACCAAATAATCCACTCCCAGTTCACTTTCAGTGCACTTTTCAACTGGATTTTTACTGCGTGAACTGGCAACATCCAGTTGGAAAGTGCATTGAAAGTGAATTATTTGGCGTATGTGACCGTCGCCTCAGTCTGAGGCAGTAATGCTCTGTATTCCTGGTGCTTGGGGGGCAAGAGTGGGAGGGCTTCTGGAGTTCTGGCCCTGCTGGTGGACCTCCTGATGGCACCTCCTGATGGCACCTGGGTTTTGGCAACTGTGTGACACAGAGTGCTGGACTGGATGGGCCATTGGCCTGATCCGACAGGGCTTCTCTTGTGTTCTTATGTCTGGGGCAGTGATGATCTGTACTCTTGGTGCTGGGGGGGGCAAGGGTGGGAGGGCTTCTGGCCCTGCTGGTGGACCTCCTGATGGCACCTCCTGATGGCACCTGGGTTTTGGCAGCTGTGTGACACAGAGTGCTGGACTGGATGGGCCATTGGCCTGATTCGACAGGGCTTCTCTTGTGTTCTTATGTCTGGGGCAGTGATGATCTGTACTCTTGGTGCTGGGGGGGGCAAGGGGGGGAGGGCTTCTGGCCCTGCTGGTGGACTTCCTGATGGCACCTCCGGATGGCACCTGGGTTTTGGCAACTGTGTGACACAGAGTGCTGGACTGGATGGGCCATTGGCCTGATTCGACAGGGCTTCTCTTGTGTTCTTATGTCTGGGGCAGTGATGATCTGTACTCTTGGTGCTTGGGGGGCAAGGGTGGGAGGGCTTCTGGAGTTCTGGCCCCGCTGGTGGACCTCCTGATGGCACCTGAGTGTTGGACTGGGTGGGTCATTGGCCTGATCCAACGTGGCTTCTCTTATGTTGTTATGTCTGAGGCAGTGTTGCTCTGTCTTCCTGATGCTTGGGGGGGCAACAGAGGGAGGGCTTCTGGAGTCCTGGCCCTGCTTGTGGACCTCCTGATGGCCTCTGGGTTTTGGCCACTATATGACAGAGTGTTGGACTGGAGGGGCTATTGGCCTGATCCAACATTGGCTCCTCTTATGTTCTTATGTCTGGGGCCGTGATGCTCTGTATTCTTGGTGCTTGGGGGTCAAGAGTGGGAGGGCTTCTGGCCCTGCTGGTGGACCTCCTGATGGCACCTGAGCTTTTGGCAACTGTGTGACCCAGCGTGCTGGACTGGATGGGCCATTGGCCTGATTCGACAGGGCTTCTCTTGTGTTCTTATGTCTGGGGCAGTGATGATCTGTATTCTTGGTGCTTGGGGGTCAAGAGTGGGAGGGCTTCTGGCCCTGCTGGTGGACTTCCTGATGGCACCTCCTGATGGCACCTGGGTTTTGGCAACTGTGTGACACAGAGTGCTGGACTGGATGGGCCATTGGCCTGATTCGACAGGGCTTCTCTTGTGTTCTTATGTCTGGGGCAGGGATGATCTGTCCTCTTGGTGCTTGGGGGGGGCAAGAGTGGGAGGGCTTCTGGAGTTCTGGCCATGCTGGTGGACCTCCTGAGGGCACCTGGTATTTCTGGCCACTGTGTGACACAGAGTGTCAGACTGGATGGGCTCTTGGCCTGATCCAACATGGCTTCTCTTACGTTCTCAGGCCGTCAAGGTCAGGATTGTCTGCTTTGACTGGCAGCAGCTCTCCTGGGTCTCAGGGAGAGGTCTTTCACATCACCTGATACCTGGTTCTTTTAATGGGAGATGGCGGGGATCAAAGCCGGGTCCCTCTGCATGCCAGGCTGAGTCACGGCCCACCACTGAGCTTGTGACCCACGGAGGCAGACTCTTCCATTGTTGAAGTGTCTGGTAGCACAAAGGCCGCACCATATGTCCATCAGTGGATATTAGCCAGAGACTCTGGGGCAAGTGATGCTCTGTCATCTTGGTGCTTGGGGGGGGTCAAAAGTGGGAGGGCTTCTAGTGTCCCGGCCCCACTGGTGGATCTCCTGCTGGCACCT